GGGGCCGGGGCTCGCAGGGGGGCTCTGAGCGTGGCTGCTGGTGCACGCGACCCCTGACTGTCCCACCTGTCTGTCTGTGCATCCGCAGGGCCAAGGGGACCTCCTGAAGAACGCCAAGAGCGAAGCCCTGGAGAACATGAAGCAGATCCAGCTGGCGTGCCTGTCGTGCGGGCTGAGCAGGACTGGCAGCGGGCACGCCGACGCCAAGGCCAAGCGGGGCCTGGAAGCGATACAGGAGAAGGACACCGGAGACGAGAACGGGAGGCTGTGAGGAGAGGCAGAGCTGTCGCATTTGTCACAGATTTCAAAAACTCTAAACTATTTTTTTAAAGCGTTTAAAAATTCACGTTTTTTAATGCCCTCTGCAGGGTGTTGATAGTATTAAATCCCTCACAATGTCAGTATTTTAACGCCGTTAATTTATCGAAGCTGAACCCCGGCAGCGGGATTTCTAACGCAGCCAAGCTGTCTGTATGCCAGCGCGTGCGTGAGTGCACGCACGCGAGCCCTGTAGACGCCCTTTCATGCATCACGTTAGCCGTTTGCTAATTTATTCCTCTGTCCTCTTTGAATAGGCCTCTTCATCCTGAAGATCAAAGCAAATAGAGAGCCCTTGCATCGGTTTTGTGCTTTATTTTACTCTCCAGCTTTTATCGTTTAACTTCCAGGTTACGTTACTGTTACACCGTTAGAACAAACCAACCACGACAAAGACCACCGCGAGCGCAAAGCCAGCTCTTTGCTGCAGGTGCTGAGCAGGGTTTGTAATGACCAGCTCAAACCAAGCAAGCGAGACGTTGCCGGGTCAGAGTTGCTGGGTGGAGCAGGGTTAGACCCGAGGTGCACACCTCACTGAATTTTAGCAAACCGCTCTGCGGGATGCGCCCAGGCAGCACGTACTAACGTGAGAACCAGCTGATTTATCTCATTCCAGTGGATCATTGCTGCCTTGTAGAGCTGCAGGACAGCCGCAGCCTTTGCTGATAGGCGTTACCTCGTGCAGCAACGAACGTA